AGAATCTTGCTCTGTCACCCAGGCTGGAGTGCAGTGGTACTATCATGGCTCATTGCAACCTCCCCTTCCCAGGTTCAAGCCATTCTTGTGCTTCAACCTCTGTAGTAGCTGAGATTATAGCACGTGGCACCATGCCCAGGTAATTTTTGTATGTTTAGTAGAGACGGGATTTAGTAGAGACGGGGTTTTGCCATGTTGGCCAGGCTGATCTCAAACTCCTGGCCTCAAGTGATTGCCCGCATTGCCCTCCCAAAGTACTGGGATTACAGGCATGAGCCACCACGCCTGGCCAAATAAATGATTTTAAACCAGTGTGGGCAGTGTTGTGACAGAGATAAGTGCATAGTGTTGAGGTAGCACATACTAGAAATACTTCCCCAGGAGGCGATACCTTAGCTGAGACTTAAAGGACAATAGGAGTTCTAGAGGGGCAGATGGGAAAGGGAAAACATCTAAGCAGCGTGGATAGCATTATAAAGGCTCAGAAGTGAGAGAAAGCATGACTCTTTCTGGAAAACGCAAGTAGTCCCGGGTTACTGTAGTGTGCTAAGGAAAGGTGTAGCAAGAGATAAAACTGAGGAGTGGTAGAAGATTAAACAGGACCAGATTAGAGGAATTCTTGTTTGGACTTTACCCTGAACGCTCTGGGGTATGTGTCAAATGCAACTGTAATATTATATCTCAAATGCAAATATAAATATTTCTTTAATGCCATTTAATACTCTGGGAAATGTTGAGATATATCACTCTGACTATAATATGGAGAATGGATGAAGAAAGTTTATTACTGTAACTAGGGGAGACTAGCCAAGAAGTCATTGCAGTAATCTTGGTGAAGTCTTGATATCCTTTTTTTTTGAGACAAGATCTTGCTTTGTTGCCCAGACTGGAGTGCAGTGGTACAATCATGGCTTACTGAAGCCTCTACCTTCTGGGCCTAAGCCATCCTCCCACCTCAGCCTCCGAGGTAGCTGAGACCACAGTTGTACACCACCATGCTTGGAAAAAATTTTAAATTATTTTTGTAGCGACGAGGTCTCCCTGTGTTGCCCAGGCTAGTCTTGAACTCCTGACCTCAAGCAACCCTCCTGCCTTGGCCTCCCAAAGTGCTGGGATTAGAGGAGTGAGCCACTGTGCCTGGCCACTATCCTAACTCTTATCAGTCAGTATGGAGGCAAGGGGCATCTATTCATAAGCCTATGGATTTTGATGACTGATAAGATGTTGTGGGGGAGTTTGTGGAATCCTTACTATTTTCCAGGACTGTGCCAAGCACTTCTACATGGATTCCTTCATTTATTCTCACTGAAGCCATTTGGATTTTTGTACTATTATTGTCTTCATTGTAAAGATAAGGAAATTGAGTCTCAGAAAGTTTGATAACTCCTTATAGTCACAAAGCCAGTGCATATTGTTATTCAAACCTCCAATCTCTCTGATTTCTCTAAAGAACACTCTTTTTTTTTTGAGATGGAGTCTCGCTCCATCACCCAGGCTGGAGTGCAGTGGCGCGATCTTGGCTTACTGCAAGCTCTGCCTCCCGGATTCATGCCATTCTCCTGCCTCAGCCTCCCAAGTAGTTGGGACTACAGGTGCCCACCACCACACACGCCCGGCCAATTTTTTGTATTTTTAGTAGAGACGGGGTTTCACTGTGTTAGCCAGGATGGTCTCGATCTCCTGACCTGGTGATCCGCCTGCCTCGGCCTCCCAAAGTGCTGGGATTACAGGTGTGAGCCACCGCGCCCAGCCTAAAGAACACTCTTACCTACTATATAATACTGCCTAACAGTTTCCAGTTACTGACTTGATCAATCAGGTGATTGATGGCAGTGCTAGAGCAGTGTTAGGGAAGATGATTTCTGGTTTTGGACATTTCAGGTTGCCTTTGGGACATTCAGGTAGAGATGTCTAGGTGAAAGCTGGATTTTTATTATTTTTTTATTTTTATTTTTATTTTTATTTTTATTTTTGGAGACAGGGTCTCACTCTGTCACCCAGGCTGGAGTGCAGTGGAATGCAGTGGTACAATCACTACTCATTGCATCCTCGACCTCCTGGGCTCAGGTAATTCTCCCACCTCAGCCTCCTGGGTAGCTGGGACTACAGGTGTGTACCATCATGCCTGGCTAATTTTTTTATTTTTTGTAGAGATGGAATTTTGCCATGTTGTCCAGGCTGGTCTTGGACTCCTGGGCTTAAACACTTCCTCCCACCTTGGCATTCCAGAGTGTTGGGATTATAGTTGTGAGCCACAGTACTTGACCTGAATCTAAAATTTAATCCAGATGAATGGCCTGAGCTAGATGGATATGCTGCTGTGGTAGTCTTTAGCCTATAGGTGGTTATGGTAGTCTTTAGTCTATAGGTGGTTATATACCTGGCAAATAGGCTGGCATTACTACAATGAGGGTAGTCAGAGGTTTAGGAGTGTACATGACCACCTGAAGAATGTACATGTGTGTAGGGAATGAGAAAAGGTGTATCTTTCACATTACAATGTCACGCTTCAATTCTGGACATTGTTTTCCATAACATCTCAAATCTCATCTTACTCCCACCAAGAACAAAAAAACCAGTTTCTGTTCTTTTGTATTTTGTTAGTGGTAAAATGAGATTAGCTATAAATGGTAGCTGTATTGTCCTTTTTCATTCTGCTTAAGTCAGACAGCAGACTGTAGATTGTTTAGCAGTAAAAGCCTACAAATACAAGTGAAATATGGAAAAAGGGAGCCAAAGTCCCATGAAGCTCTATTATTCAGCATTTAAGATTGGTAAATGTTCACAAACTCTGGCAGCCTCTAGCAACACATGTACTGTGTCTTCATGTTAACAGTGGTCTCAACCTGAAACACCCATGTATGAAGGAACCTGTTTTATAACAGAACCGAGTGGTATCTGTTCATGGAAGGTAGCATAGGAGTTTATTGCATTCCTTGCCTTTTCTCCTGGATTTATAGCATGGTGGATTGTATATATATGTGAGTCTGTGCCTTGATCAGTATGCATAATGGAACAGGGCAGGAATTCAGATATCAGTTGATAGTGTCATAACATCAGGGAAAGTACGTTGACTGTTTATGGTCTTCTCTATTTGAGATTAGACATAGACCTGGAGGCTTCTGGTGCTGCTGCAGGCCAGGGAATGGAAAGGTTTGTTTGGTTCTCATTCTCATTTTTTTCCTTTGCTTCTCTTTTAAACAACACTCTCTGACAAGTGATTGGGTCCACAGAGACCAGAGCTTGTACACAGAGAAGAATGGACAGAGATTATATTGTTTTCCTTACTTTATCTTGTGAGCTGCTTATCTCTTCCACAGGGAGGACAATGTGTTAAATTGAGATAATTCTGGCATGCTGTCATCTTTGGGGGAATCATAATTGCTCTGGTCATTTTAGGCAGCTTCAAGGGAGTTGAGTTCATTCAGCTTCAGTTACTTGAACTGAATTCAGTTACCTGAATCGATGCTTTCATGAAATGGAATCTTTTCCAAGTCAAAGCTTGGATTGAAATTTCACTGACTGGTTTTTATGAGATCACTTAGGGTCTCAAATACTTTATGTAGCAGTGCATTGATCATATTTTACTCTTATGTGTGACTTATGGGCAACTTTTAGCACCCTTGTCCCTCTGGAGTTTTGGAATGCTATTTGTGAGGTTCATAACTTCATAAATATTTATTGAACATCTACTACCTACCAGGTAGTAGTCTAGATGGTAGAGTATACAATAAGGAACAAGCTATATAAGATCCTTTCTCTCTTGGAGCTTACTTTCTTTGGGATATTAGACATTGAATTAGGCTAGTTCAGATAAGATAGTACTTGTGAAAGATCTATAACAAGTTCTTTTGGATGTGTCTAGTGTCCTTCCCTACTGCATGTCCAGATCTTTCTCATCTTCATTTGAAGGCTGGCTCAAATGGCAGCTTCTCCATCATATCCTTATCTGATCCTTCCAGCTGATACAATCCTCCCGTCTTTGAAATCTCATGCCTCTCTATCAGCAACTTTCTTATGTCACCTTAACATTTTTTTTCTATTTGTTTCCTAGCTGTTAGTGCATATGTTAAGTCTCCCCATTAGACTATAAATTATTGAGGGCAGACTGGGCACAGTGGCTCACGCCTGCAATTCGAGCACTTTGGGAGGCCAGGGCAGGTGGATTACTTGAGGTCAAGAGTTCGAGACCAGCCTAGCCAACATAGTGAAACCCTGTCACTACTAAAACTACAAAAAATTAGCCGGGCATGGTGGTGTGCACCTATAACCCCAGCTGCTTGGGAGACTGAGGCAGGAGAATCCCTTGAACCCGGGGGGGGGGGTGGGCGGAGCTTGCAGTGAGCTGAGATCCTGCCACTGCACTCTAGCCTGGGTGACAGAACGAGACTTTGTCTGAAAAAAAAAAATTATTGAGGGAAGAGTAAATATCTTGTTCATCTTGGTTTGGGATATTTCACATTCAGGCAGAGGATGTTGTGGGAAAAAACACACTGAACTTAGAGCCAGAAGATGAATTGAGTACTGGCTTCTCTATTCACTGGCTGTGTGACTAGGCAAGTCATTTAACTTCACTGAAACTAAGTTTTCTATCACTAAGCATGTAGTAATCATCCTTCTGTTCCTGAATAGTTGTCGGGAGGCTCAAACTGAGATAATATATATCCTTTGCAAATTCTAACTTTCCACACACAGCATCATAGTAAATATTGTATAAGTATTTGAATGAGTAAGCATTTACTTCAGTGAACACCTTTTCCTGAGCAGTTCTCTTGCTTACTGAGGTCTTTTGATTTTGTGAATATACTAGACTACTTTTTTATCTGATTTTTTGTATTGTTCCATTTTGCAGATGACATCTTAATTTTATTAAACTATTCTGTTCCTGAGAATTGGCATCCTCTTCATCCACCTGGGGGCGACCAGTAATTTTCTGTTTTTCTCTCTGTAGGTGCTATTTAATATTTAAATAACAAATGACATTTGATCTGTTTCAGCAGGTGGTCCATTATGGCTGACATGCAAAATCTGGTAGAAAGATTGGAGAGGGCAGTGGGCCGCCTGGAGGCAGTGTCCCATACCTCTGACATGCACCGTGGGTATGGAGACAGTCCTTCAAAAGGTAAGCAGTCCACAGCCCAGCAGAATGCTTTCTTTGAGTGTCTTGGCCTGAAAATTTTCTATTATTCTCTCCTTTGGAGCTAACTTCCCAAAACTTAATCTAGATAGTTTATCTTTTGTAATTTGTATTGCTGTGAACAGATAAGAGAGGAAAGGAAATGACTTGTACAGGGAGGCCTGTGGTTAAATTATTTTAACACAAGAACTTCCTGCTTGTGTGATATTTCCTGTTCTTTCTTTAGCAGAATGACTCCAATATAAGTCAAATGACAAGTGATAATAAAATTCCTGTCTCCAAACAATTGGCAAATTGGACATTTTGCACATGCAGCAATTGAAACATAGAATGTTAGCACTAAAAGAAACCTTGGAGGATCATTTTGTTTATTTTCATTTTATAGATAAAGAAAATTAAGCTCAGAGAGGAAAAGGGATTTAGTCAAGGTCACACACCAGTTAGTGGTGATACTGAACCTAGAACCCAGGTTTCCTTACTCCTGTTCCAGTATCCTGTTGACTGTATTACCTTGCCTCCTCACTTCCATATAGAAGCACATTTTAAAGAAGCCTCCTTCTGATGCATGGCTGATTCTTCGTGGTGTGTTTGTCTTTAGCAGGAGCAGCTCCATATGTGCAGGCATTTGACTCACTGCTTGCTGGTCCTGTGGCAGAGTACTTGAAGATCAGTAAAGAGATTGGGGGAGACGTGCAGAAACATGTAAGGATGTTTTGCCTTTTTCCCCTTCTTTTAAGGACTGACAGCTTTCTTCAGTCAGCCAAAGTCCTCATCCTTGGTTTAAGAGCTCCTTGAGAAGTGCCTCTTGGTTTGAGGCATTAGACATGTTATTTTTCTTTTACCTGTACTGAGGAGTTCAGTCCAGCCACAGAAACGATTCCTCCTATTTTTCTAGGCCCCTTGCTTTTATCACATATTTGTACAGAAAGCTTGCTTGGTACATAAAATATGGTTCTGTTCATCTTTGTAGCGAAGAACATGCACTCGTTTGATCCCAACATATTATATAATCAAACTTACAGTGGCTTATTTAAAGGAGTCATTATCATGACTTAGCATTTATAAAACTATGCTTGATAGTTATTAGTTATGCTAATGTGGGTTATTTTCACACCTAACCCACAGCAAGAATATGAAGTAGGCAGTGACAGGTGCCTTTCCTCCCACCTTCCTTTATGCCTCCTACGTCATCACCACCACTGCCTACTCCCACCCCACACTCACATATACATTCTACCTCTATTTTTGGGACCCAAAAAACCTTCCTGCTAGCTCACCGAATGATCCGTTATAAACAGTAACCATGCTCGGGATCTTCTTCACCTAAACCTTTCTCCAAGACTGGTTGCTTGGGTTTTGGAAAATCTATTTTGAGCCTCTCAAATACCATCTGTTGCCAATGGTTTTGGCTCTAGAGAGTGGGACTGGGACTTTAATAAGGGTGTGGAGGCTTGCATTTTTACTTTATACAGTTCTGTAACATTTGAAAAAACTTTAAAACATTTATCATTTGTGTTTTAAAAATGCAAATCCAGAAAAAAATAGATTGCTTTCTTTGAATTTTTGTATTTTAATAGTGCTTATAGTCTCATGTTTCTTAAATTCTTTTGACTACGAATGACCCTTAGAAATAAAGAACATATTCGTAACTGAGATAATATATTTTTTATATTTTTATAAATATAAAAATGATATTTGTACTACTTCTGCTATACTTTTTTTTTTAACTTTTTATTTGGAAATAACTTGAAGTTGGTGCGCTGCACTCATACTTTTGCTGTGTTAAGCTCACTAAATCGATTTATTTATTTATTAATGGGTCATGGTATCTAGCATTGGAGAGATAGCTTTAACCTAAAGGAGTAAATACCTTGAGAATTTTCGGCATAAATTTAGGCCTTTGCCTTTACTCCTGTCTCCAATTTTTGAGAAAAGAAAGGTGTTTTTTTGGTTGCCGTTTGTTTTATTTTGCTGATGTGAAATAGGAAGGATTTTTCAGTGCACAGTATCACAATGCATGTGTAAGGTGCTAACATGACTTCATTTAAGGCTAGGTGATTATCCATTTAACTTGACTTCCAACTCTAGATGTGTGTCCCTGATGAGTTCCAATAGGAACAGTAGTATATGTAATTCTGCTATCAGTCCCTGGAATCCGGAATACATGAGGAGGATAACATGAAGTGCCTGGGTTGCTATCAGAGTACATGGAAGTAGAGGTTTCAGGTTATTCTTATCAAGACTTCTCCAGTTATAATGTGTCATCAATAGCTGATTCTTCTTTCTGGCAGGCGGAGATGGTCCACACAGGTTTGAAGTTGGAACGAGCTCTGTTGGTTACAGCTTCTCAGTGTCAACAGCCAGCAGATGTAAGTTCACTACTAGCTGGTTTCATTTTGGTTTGATGCTCAGGACGAGTTGAGAGATTTCTGTCAAGCTATTATAACATTTTAAAATAGACCTACTAGGCTTTTGATAATATATGTTCATACCAAGTCCCAGAGGTAGAGCCATACTTCAAGTGCCTTAATGGGAAGGTACTATTGAGTACTTAATGGTCTCTACTGACTTTTTCTCTGTCATTTTGCATAGGCCCGTGGTTATTCCTGGGACTTTGCTTGCCTCCCTCTTTGCTGAGTCTACATTCATCATAGTGTCTCCAAAGCCCTTTAAAGATGATTCTTTTGCTTCACTGTGGATGGGCTTTAGTAGTGCTCCTGTGGAGATCTTAAAACTCCTGTAGTATTGCTTCTCTCTTCATCCTTCACTGGTTGGGAGAATCTCCCTTTAATTTTACTCCCACCTCAGAATTTTATGGTGCAAGATGTGAAAAGCTGAATTAGAGAAAATATAGATTTCTCTTGGAGTCAAAGAAAATAGGTTTCCTTCTTTTGCATTTGGCTTTCCTACAGAGGAATAATAAAGCAAGTTGTCCTAAATGCTGTATTAAAACCCTTGACTCTCAGCATGCCTAGATAATATAAAAATAATGTCATATATATTAGATTCTGGTTAAGCATACTGGCTTACTTCTGTAATTCCAGCACTTTAGCAAGACCTTGTCTCTACTAAAAATTAAAAAAAAAAAAAAAAAAAAGTAGCCAGGCAAGGTGGTACATGCCTATAGTCCCACCTACTTGAGAGGCTGAAATGGGAGGAACATTTGGGACTGAAAGTTTGAGGTTGCAGTGAGCCCTGAACACACCATTGCACTCCAGCCTGGGCGACAGAGCAGGACCTTCTCTCAAAAAACAATGTGTGTGTATGTATATACAGATACCATCTAATTCTAATATGTAGAATTAGATTCTAATTCTTAATCTGTCCTGAATGGTTAAGATCTGAGAATTGAGATGTTCAGGAAATGGAGCTTTGGAGGAAGGGTGCAAACAAACAAAATTCATCCGTTTTGCCAAGGTGCCTACTTGAATGCTAAGCCCCTAATTGTTTTTTATTTTATTTTATTTTTTTAAAATCTTTTTTTTGAGACAGGGTGTTGTTTTGTCACCCAGTCTGGAGTGCAGTAGTGCAATCACAGCTCACTGAAGCCTTGACCTCCCAGGCGTAAATGATCCTCCCACCTCAGCCTCCTGAGTAGCCTTGACTACAGTGTGCACCACCACGCCTGGCTTGCTTGCTTATTTATTTATTTATTTATTTATTTATTTATTTATTTATTTTTGAGATGAAGTCTCACTCTGTAGCCCACGCTGGAGTGCAGTGGCAGGATCTCGGCTCACTGAAACCTCCACCTCCCAGGCTCAAATGATTCTCCCACCTTAGCCTCCTGAATAGCTGGGACTACAGGCATGTGCCACCATGCCCAGCTGATTTTTGTATTTTTATAGAGGTGGGGTTTCGCCACGTTGCCCAGGCTGATCTTGAACTCCTGGACTCAAGCGATCTGTCTACCTTGGCCTCCCAAAGTGCTGGGATTACAGGCGTGAGCCACCATGCCTGGCCCTAATTCTTTTTATTATTTGTAGAGACAAAGTCGTGCTGTGTTGTCCAGTTTGGTCTCGAACTCCTCGTCTCAAGCATCTCTCCTGCCTTAGCCTCCCAAAGTGCTGAGATTACAGGTGTGAGCCACCATGCCCAGACTAAGCCCCCTAATTGCATTTGATTCATCAGTTCTTTACTCAGCAGCTACTACATGACTAGCAATGCATTGAGGGCTTTAATGATGATAAAAGAGCTCATCTTGGAAGAATTAATGAGAAAGTAAAACATATTCACATGGGTCCATTAATAGTTTGTATTGGTGAGTGATAAAATGCCAAAATTGGTTATTCTGACAACAAATGCTGTAGGAGGCTGGTGTGGCTGGGTTGGAGGGCCCTCGTGAAGCATGAGGAAAATGTGGATTCATGGAAAAAGAAGAGAACATCATGAGTAAGGCACAGGAATGATGTCCTGAGTGTATGTCCTCTAAGTGGAACAGAAAAGAGACAAGTGGCTGAAATGGAGGTATTGTGGTATAGCTGAAGTATGGATCCTGATCATGAAGAACCATCAGGTACAGCCTGAGGAGTTGGAACTCTATGAGGAGAGTGAGATAATGAGCAGTATTTTAGCCTTAGGAATCAGGACAGGACTAATGCAGTTTATTTGGGTGCTCACTAGAGTCCATAGAGAATTCTTACCTTCAGGATCAGAAGGCATAGACACCTTTGTGGAAGGATGTTAACCTGAATCTTTTCTTGTATCTTTTCCTAGAATAAGCTTTCCGATTTGTTGGCACCCATCTCAGAGCAGATCAAAGAAGTGATAACCTTTCGGGAGAAGAACCGAGGCAGCAAGTTGTTTAATCACCTGTCAGCTGTCAGCGAAAGTATCCAGGCCCTGGGCTGGGTGGCTATGGTGAGCAGTGCAGATTCCAGGGCTGGGGGTGTGGGTATAGATTCTAAGAGGCAAGGCAATATAGTTGGAGAGGTCCTGAGTCACTGACAGCTTGTTTCTCTCTAGGCTCCCAAGCCTGGCCCTTATGTGAAAGAAATGAATGATGCTGCCATGTTTTATACAAACCGAGTCCTCAAAGAGTACAAAGATGTGTAAGTTCAGCCTTTTCTTTTCTTTCTTTCTTTTTTTCTTTTCTGAAACAGTGTCTCGTGTTGTCACCCAGGCTGAAGTACAGTGGCACAATCACAGCTCACTGCAGCCTCAACCTCCCAGCTCAAACAGTCCTCCCACCTCAGTCCCCCAAGTAGCTGGGACTTCAGGCATGCTGCACCATGCCTGGTAATTTTTTAATTTTTTCGTAGAGATGAGATCTCACTGTTTCCCAGGCAGGTCTCTAATGATTCTCCTGCCTTGGCCTCCCAAAATGCTGGGGTTACAGATATGAGCCACTCTGCCCAGCCAAGTTCAGCCTTTTCTCAAGGGGTAAAGGATAAACCCATTTGGTTACTTGCTGGAGTAGCACTTTGGAGTTACTGAAGGCTGCCCTTAGCCACTGTGCTGGTTTTATCTCAGGGCTGCTTTCCGGAGAGCTTTATAGATATTGTCTCACAGCTGTATTTGCAAACAGGAAATGTTTCTGCTTCCACTTCTGCTTTCTCTCCTTTGTTGGTAGAGGCCCTTTTAGCCTTCTGGGTTTAGGAAGTTTTGCTGACAGTAACATGGACTAATGCCCTTTATATAAGATTTTGTTTCTTTGTTGAGAATTTGTTATCTGGCCCAATGGCAAAGGGTTCAATAGGACTTAATAGAAATTCTTCATGCAGTCAGTTAAAGTGAGAGTAAGGCTGCCTAGCCAATGCAGGTATTACGTAAGGCAGTCCTTGTATGTCTAACCACATATATCTACCAGTTCTGACTTCTCCATTGCTGGTTTTGAACTGGAATGATTGCAGGCAAAATTTATTAAGTTGCATATCTACGCAAACCCTTCCTTTCTTCCATCCTTCATCAATCAGCAAACATTTATTAACTACTCTTTTTAAGGAATACTGCACCTTCCTTTGAGTGAAATGTGTCCCAGAACAACAGGCACTTCTTTATCCTTCTAGCAACATGGAATTAAGCATGACAGTGTTTTGATATATCCCACCATTATCCCATCACTTTACAGTTGAGGAAACTAAGTCTCAGGCTAAATAACCTTGCCAGCTAATATACAAGAAGAGAGGGGACTTGGACCATAGGTACAATGCTATTTCTATAATTTAATGCTGATTGTTTCCTCCTAAAGGAAAGTTTAAGTTTGCTTTTGGTGGGGGTGGGCATATTTTGACATAAGGCATTGTCTCGTAAGACAGTTAAGTTTCTTAGAGTTCCACAGTGATACTTAAGAGTTCTCCTGTCTACCATGGTTTTATGTACAGAATGTCTGCTTTTATCAGTTTTACATATTAGATTGTGTTTAGGTTCTACTTTGGAAAAAGTTTCAATAAGCAAGTGGTCAAAAGAAAAAAAGTTTTGGTACTTAAAACAGTTTGAGAAACATTGCTATGAGAGATAGAGATAGAATCCAGAGTCTCTATCTTAGTGGAGTTTGGTCTGATTAGGGTAATAGACTAGGTTGTGTATACATAGAAGTTTGGTGATGACAGAAAAGCTGCCATTGAGCAGAGCCTAAGAAACACCACAGGTAGGAGAAAGTGAGCCCATAGGAAAGAAGGGTTCTGGAATCACCATTGTTATGTACCTGGACCACCTGTGACAAGTTCTTCTTTAATCCTCCCAGGGATAAGAAGCATGTAGACTGGGTCAAAGCTTATTTAAGTATATGGACAGAGCTGCAGGCTTACATTAAGGAGTTCCATACCACCGGACTGGCCTGGAGCAAAACGGTTAGTGAATCCTTCCTCCCTCCCTCCCTCCCTCCCACTTTCTCTCTCCAGGGTGGGGTCCACAGGTTTCTTAGACTTCAGCACTACCAAAGTCTGTGAGGGAATGCTTGTTTTTTCAGTGGAAGGGAGGAAGAAAAGGGGGAGAAAGAAAGGGAAAAAAGAGTAAAGGAAGCAAGGATCATAGGAGAAGGCATACTTGGTGGTATTCAATTTCAATAAACATGTCAGGGACAGTGATTGGTGCTGGAGTGGGAGACACACACAAATGAGTTACACTGTCCCAGCCTTTAAGGCGCTTAAAAATAGGAACACAAAACCCCAGTACAACAGTACAAATCACTAAGCCAAATGCTATAATAAAGATACAGACTCCAGAGTATGAGGAAAAGAAGAGTGCTTCTCACTAGAAGAGATTATGCTTTGAAAGTATATACTCTTCTGTGAGACTTGAAAGAAGTATAGGGCAGTGAGAAGTGGGATACTACAAAAGGCACAGCTTAAACAAAATAAATGCAGAGTAAATGTAGAGATTGGTCATCTCTGGCTTCAATAAGGGGAAATGGTCAGATTTTTAGGAGAAAAGGCTGGAAAGGAAGGTAGGCTGAGACTTTGGGATGAGGTATTTGAGCAAGGGAGTGATGATGATCCAATTTGTCTTTAAAAGAGTCTCAGTGTAGAGGTTAGGGATAAGGACTCATGCTCGGATTATGAAAGTAGTCATGGTGTTTGGGAGATAGTAGAAAAACATTTGTAGGAGATAGCACCAAGATAATATAAAGAGATTTGATAAGGTTGAAGAAGTTGGAATCCTCAAAGAAGATTGAATAGTCAGCCTTGGATGGTAACATCTTTCACTGAAACAGGGACAAGGGGATGATTATACAGGGAGGGGAGCAGGCAGGAAATGATGAAATCAGTTTTAAACTTGTTGAATCTGAGGTACTGGTAACACACTAAGGAAGATGTCAAATAGATTTGTGGAAAGAGTTTTTAAAGCTGGAATCAGGTGAGGTCAAAGGCAAAATATGATGGTCAAGAAATAGAACTGAGAGCTGGATCTTCGGGAAAGGGTGAGAAGGCATAAAGCCAAGTTGGGTATGGGTAGGATGCATTAATCATTGCCTCAAAGGCTGTAGTGGGGACCCCATGTGCACTGGCCACATGTAGGGTGCTACTGGGAATGGTACAGAGGGGAAGAGAGAGGATGACGATGTTACCTTATTGTTTCAGGGGCCTGTGGCAAAAGAACTGAGTGGACTGCCATCTGGACCCTCTGCTGGATCAGGTCCTCCTCCCCCTCCGCCAGGTCCCCCTCCTCCCCCAGTCTCTACCAGTTCAGGCTCAGATGAGTCCGCTTCCCGCTCAGCACTGTTTGCGCAAATTAATCAGGGGGAGAGCATCACACATGGTGAGTGAACACTTTGACACAAACAGTTGGTACAACAAGTTGTGTGGGCCAGACGCCACCAACCAGAACCCAACAACTAGTCTGTAAACCACAACCCCGACTTGTGTGGGAGTCATTTAGTGTGTCCTGTTCCTTTAAGGGACAGCAAAGCTGGCTTAAATGGAAATTGAAAATGATGATCACAGTTGGAGGAAGCCCTCTGCCCCATGGGAAAGTGACTTAATATTAGGTAGCATATCTAGAGTACCCTCTTGTGCCAAGGCACAGATCTGGCGGTTTTCCCCAGAGCTTTTTTCCGTAGCACCACATGGCACTGTGTTAGGAGTTAACTTCCTTAGAAGATGCATACTGGTTACATGGAAAATTTGCATGAAAGTGACCTAATGTTGGTATAGAGAAAGTAGATACCGTTAACACAGCTGGTGGAAGTCTGAGTTGTCCAGCCACTTCTAGGAATCTACGATCATAGTAGCTAAAAATGGTGTAACAACCTAAATCCAACAGTAAGAGAAATGGTTAGTTAACCACCACATGTCCTGTTGATGAAATGTATGCCATCATTACATGTTTTTCTCCAGTGAACCACGTAATGTTTAAGAAAAAAAAATCTAGTATGTAAGTTATAACCACAAGGAATAGTGGAGATAAAGGCCATTCAGTATTTGTTATACAGTTAACATAGATCAGGCCATATTCAAAGCAAGGCGTGTGTCAGCCTGCTGTGGGAGATCATGAATTATTTTTCCCTTAAAACATAAAAGAAATATATTTTTACTTTTTTTTTTGAGACGGAGTCTCACTTTTTTGCCTAGGCTGGAGTGCAGTGATGTGATCTCGGCTCACTGCAGCCTCTGCCTCTCAGGTTCAAGCAGTTCTCCTGCCTCAGCCTCCTAAGTAGCTGGGACTACAGGCACCTGCCACCATATCTAACTAATTTTTTTGTACTTTTAGTAGAGACTAAAAATACACCATGTTAGCCAGCCTGGTCTCCAACTCCTAACTTCAGGTGATCCACCCGCCCTGGCCTCCCAGCGAGCTGGGATTACAGGCATGAGCCACAGCGCCTGGCCTAGAAAATACTAAACTACAGGTTAACATGAGAAAGTTTTTAAGTGTCAATAGTTGAACTAAATGTATTAACGATGTGTATGATCATAACCAACAAAACCATATATATATAGAGAGAGAGAGAGAAAAAACAATATTGTAGAGTCGCAAATGCCAACACTGACTGAGGAGGTAGGGGAAGTAGGGTTAGTTAGCTGTGGGGAGTGAGGGTTTTTTGTTTTGTTTTGTTTTGTTTTTTCCTTTTGCCAAATTTTCTTTACTGCCACTTATTTTTCTTCCTTTATTGCTTTAAAAACTACATATTTGTGCATATATATTTGATATGTCTTTCTAGGTCTTTTTCTGTGCATTTACTCCCTATTGCCAACCACAGTATATACATATTCCATGTTGTTGTTAATGGAACCATATAATTTAACCTTGGGGAGAAGAGAAATGATAAAAGTACTTCTTCAAAACTGCTTGCAAGAGAACACCTCAAAGGCTCTGGTTTTTGGCTTTGAATTTTCTGTTAAGGATGTTTAACATGATGAAAGCAGCTCAGAGGTCTGGTATGAAGGACAGGAACAAGGTAGCTGTTGTTCTTACAGCCCTGAAGCATGTATCTGATGACATGAAGACTCACAAGAACCCTGCCCTGAAGGCTCAGAGTGGTCCAGTACGCAGTGGCCCCAAGCCATTCTCTGCACCTAAACCCCAAACCAGCCCGTCCCCTAAACCAGCCACAAAGAAGGAGCCAGCTGTACTTGAACTGGAGGGCAAGAAATGGAGAGTGGTAAGTTAAAAATACCTAGACAGGGGCAGGTATTTTTATTATATTTTTTTGAGATGGAGTCTCACTTTGTCGCCCAGGCTGGATGGAGTGCAGTGGCGCGATTTTGGCTCACTGCAACCTCCACCTCCCGGGGAAAAGGAGTAGCGACGGGGTTAAATGGAGCTTAGCTAGATGAGGGCAGAGTTCTGGCTTCAATTGCAACAACAAAAAGTTTGGGATAGCCTGGGTTTTTTTTGTTTGGTGTGTGCTTTATGATGAGAATCCTGGGCTCTCTCTCTAATAGGAAAATCAGGAAAATGTTTCCAACCTGGTGATTGATGACACAGAGCTGAAACAGGTGGCTTACATATACAAGTGTGTCAACACGACATTGCAAATCAAGGGCAAAATTAACTCCATTACAGTAGGTGAGTCTTTGTTGCTGTCCCATGCAATCCCCGTCCCAGAGCCTGAGAAGGCTAATATCATTTTACCTACCCTATCTTAAAGATTCCTAAATGTATATTACTTTCCTTTAAAGTTACACTGTTGACAAACTCCCTTTCTTCTCCTAGATAACTGTAAGAAACTTGGTCTGGTATTCGATGACGTGGTGGGCATTGTGGAGATAATCAACAGTAGGGATGTCAAAGTTCAGGTAACTCGATATTTTGGCTCCTTCTTTTTGTCCCTGAGGAATTAATTGAAAGAGACATGGTAGACCCACAGATGTTGCTTTCGTGGGAATCTGATTCTACAAAGTCTGTAAGCTGAGCTGCTTTGGACGTGGCAGAAGAGGGGTTGGCTCTTCGGGCGAGTTCTTTTCAGGACCCATCCCAACCCACCCAAGTATCCAGTGTCTTGCGCACCTGTGAGCTTTTCATGTAGTTGCTGAGTCACATGAAACAGGAAAGCTTTTCCTGCAACTTACTCTTGTCCTCCCCAACTGCTGGGACTCAGTTCTCTTGGTTTACTCTGCAGGTAATGGGTAAAGTGCCAACCATATCCATCAACAAAACAGATGGCTGCCATGCTTACCTGAGCAAGAATTCCCTGGATTGTGAAATAGTCAGTGCCAAATCTTCCGAGATGAATGTCCTCATTCCTACAGAAGGCGGTGACTTTGTAAGTTTCTTGATCTCTTTAGTATAATGTTAAAAACAGAAGGGACTGAAGATTTCTTGCATTGGAGAAAGCTGTTTCATGAACATTCTGCACTGAGCAGCTAAAAACCCAATAATGCACACCAAAAACACACAGAAATGAGGTAGTCCAGTGTAGTGGAGCTCCAAAGGAAGGTGCTTTCTGCCTAAATGGAGCTCAAGGTAGCAAAAAAGAATGGGGATGAGCCATGGCACCTTGTCAAGCTGGTGCTATAAAGCCATATGTACTGTTATTTACACCCCATAGACTTAATAGTCTGTCCAAGATCACTGAACACTAGAACACAGCACGGCTCTATGATTTGTCTCTTGCTACATCCTCCCGTGCTCCTGGGGTTAAGTGGAAGCAAGCACTGGGAGAAATGTGTGAGATTTAGCCCCAGCTCTTCCTTAGCTCAGATTTAAACCTGCTGTCTCTTCTTTATTTGCAGAATGAATTCCCAGTTCCTGAGCAGTTCAAGACCCTCTGGAATGGGCAGAAGTTGGTCACCACAGTGACAGAAATTGCTGGATAAGTGAAGTGCCACTGGGTTCTTTGCCCTCCCTTCACACCATGAGATAAATCTGTATCAAGACGGTTCTTTTCTAGATTTCCTCTACCTTTCTGCTCTTAAAACTGCTTCTCTGCTCTGAGAAGCACAGCTACCTGCCTTCACTGAAATATACCTCAGGCTGAAATTTGGGGTGGGATAGCAGGTCAGTTGATCTTCTGCAGGAAGGTGCAGCTTTTCCATATCAGCTCAACCACACCACCAGTCCATTCTTAAGGAACTGCCGACTAGGACTGATGATGCATTTTAGCTTTGAGCTTTTGGGGGTTATTCTACCAACAAACAAACAGTCCATTGGAAAGAAAACAGTCCCAGGAATTAACAGATCAGAATGTGCACACTGGTTAATCTTTTTCTAACAGTGAGCATAAAGGTAGCAGAAGCTGGTGTGTTTTCAGATGGTTCTTCTAACCAAACTAATTTTCACTGTTGACAAGTGAGGCAAGGGTTGCACTGGACCGAAGGCTGAGGCTTGGCCATCTAGCATTCCATGCAGAACGGTTTCCCATAAGCATTCCTTTTATTCTCTGTTCTATCCTGGGTCTGCCTCAACCATGAGATAGGAGAGTCTCCGGTACTAGCTGCTAGCCAGGGCAGTTAATGGAGTCTTGGACCCTTTCTTTCTCTGGGATCCCTGCCCAGCACCTTCCTACATAGATGACTTTAAAAGTAAAAAAAAAAAAAAAAGAAAAAAGAAAAGGAAAAACAACACACCATTTCAAGGAGTCTGGCATTCCTGAATCCTCCTTCCCTGCTAGGTGCCTGTCACCTGTCTTCACTGCCTCCTTTTCCCTGTCATGCTCATCAGCTTATGGCTTCTGTCCAAGCACCTGAACAGAGGACTAAAACCTCCACTGCAGGCTGGTTTTAGGTCTTGATTTATGTAAGAATCTTGCACAGCACTGCTAGTGTAAATTTCAGTTTTTCCCCTCTAGGACAAACACTTACCAAAATATGCAACTTTTTTTGGTGGGAAGAGAGATTGTCCTGTGATTTCTACCCATTTCCTGAGGCCTGTGGAAATAAACCTTTATGTACTTAAAGTTATACAGAAAATAGAATAAAGTTAATACCAAACTTGCTTAGTTGTTTACCTGTGATACTTGCTGTACAGGAATGTAAAAAATACTGAAAACACCAAGCATAAGAAACTACTCTTTATTTTAGACAACCTCATAAAATTATTTTCACATCCCCCTCACTTCTTGCTCTTAATCCTCATCTTTTAGTTGAAGAATAAGGCTTGAGAGAGAGAAAGGAAAAACCATAATGGGTAAACTTAGCAGCACCAACACGGTTCTTTCATCAAGGCGTAGCTCATCATTTCTCCAAACTGACATTCTACAGAAATGTCTTCCAAAAAGCGTTAAGTTTTCAGAGTGGGGACTATGATTTCCATGCTCAAGTAGTGTAGGAAATGGGAGATTGTTAGTTTTGTTTACTGTAACATGAATTCTCAGAGTCCTCAGACCCTCTAATGTGGGTTGATCTCCAGAAGGAGAAAGGGAGTGTGTAGTATTTTCCAAGCTTTTTGAGCAAACAATCCTTTTCTCACAGAACCCATCAGAAACAGTTTGGAGTATGCTGGTAAATATGTTTTAGGGATAGAAGTCAGAAAGCCTGATCTTTCCATATGGTTCCTCCTGTTCTCTGCTAAAGCCAGCAACAGAGTAAGTTGACTCTAGCATCAAGACCACTAGTCATATTAAGAAAGGGAAGGTTGGTCAAGAATGGAATAGGAAGAACTAGCTGCCTCACTTTTCACTTTCGTGCCTACATTTTCTTCACTCCCTAAGTTATATAAGATGTACATTTCCTCTCTTAAGCAACTTAATTGGATGCTACTTCCCTCCTTTTGTGACAGAGCAACTAATTCATCACTACCTGAGGAGACAAAGTGGGTGCAACAGAAGCAAGACTAGGCCAGTGGGATTTGTCTAATAATAAGATGGTAGCACAGAGGGCAACGTATTCAGAGAGGAAGGCAGCCTTAAGAAATGCAGAAATAGCCAAGCAAGATTTTTCCAAGCACTGGTTAAATCACCAGCAAAACAAAGCATTTATGTGAGTACCTCAGGCCTGGGTACCTCTTTGCTTGAAATCCGGCAAGATCTTGGAAAAACGTTTGCCCTCAGAATCTATCTCATTGCTTTAATTAGTTGTCTCCTTTGGGCCTGGGCACAGTTCTGGCACTGATCTGCAACAGACTCCCTTTCTAAAACTGAGCTTGACCACATCAAAAGTTTATAAAACAATCGCCATGGTAATTAAACTTGCATTCAACACCATATGGTAACAGAAGATGGCAAAGGATAAGCTTCAGATCTTAGATCTTTCCAAGTAGGGCATGTTAGATAAGGATAGAAGGATTAGTTGCAAGCTGGTCTGAGCTCAGGCTTGGCATGAAGGAAACTGTCTCCCATGTGGTTTGGAAGAGTTAGGGGCCCCCTGAGCTCTATTGTGAACTGTACGGGTTTCATCCAAGGAATGGTATAATGTGGGCATAAAACCATTCTTCAGACAACTGAAGATGGTCCCCTTCTGTAGCCAGAAACACTAGCTGTCCTGCATTGTCCATTTCTTTTAGCCCCAGGCGGTCCTGCAGAGGGAAAGCCATAATTAATCAAAAAGCTTAATGAAGTTTTGGAGTAAAATGGTAAATATGTTAACTCGAGATATATTGTCAAAATAAAAATTGAGGTATATTTTCAAAAATGCCAAAAAGAATATCTCCTAGTTTTTTTTTCTTTTTTTTTTTTTTTTTGAGATGGAGTCTTGCTCTGTCACCCAGGCTGGAGTGCAGTGGCACGATCTTGGCTCACTGCAACCTCCACTTCCCGGGTTCAAGCGATTCTCCTGCCTCCACCTCGCGAGTAGCTGGAATTACAGGCATGTGCCACCACGCCCAGGTAATTTCTTGTATTTTTAGTAGAGATGGGGTTTCACCGTGTTAGGATGGTCTCGATCTCCTGACCTCAGGTGATCAACCCGCCTCGGCCTCCCAAAGTGCTGGGATTACAGGCATGAGCCACCACACCCGGCCAGTTTTTTCTAATATTAAAAATGTATATGTGATTGAGATTGCACTATATAGAGTTCTAGATTCTGCTTTTTGAAAAGCTTCTCAGAGTCAGAGGACTACCTATAGGTGGGCAAGCCATGGACAACACTGCCTCAGCATGCCATAAGTAAGTGGGACTGAGCCAAAGACAGGAGAACATTAGCTAGGTAACTTAAAAAACATCCAACCCAGGCCAGGCGCGGTGGCTCACGCCTGTAATACCAGCACTTTGGGTGGCCAAGGCAGGCGGATCACTTGCGGTCAGGAGTTCAAGACCAGCCTGACCAATATGATGAAACCTCATCTCTAATAAAAATACAAAAATTAGCTGGGCATGGTGGTGGGCACCTGTAATCCCAGCTACTTGGGAGGCTGAGACAGGAGAATTTGCTTGAACCCGGGAGGTGGAGGTTGCAGTGAGCTGAGATCACGCCATTGCACTACAGCCTGGGCAACAACAGCAAAACTTCGTCTCAAAAAACAAAACAAAAAAACCATATGCAAGCCTTAGGTAACAAACCCTGGACACTTCCATATTCTGGAGTTGAAAATGTCACTACCCATAGCCTAGGTGCTGGAGAACAACCCCTGGTTGGGAAGATAAGCAGTCACGGCAGTGCCAGAATGGTGCTTCTGCCGTGGCCACCATTATTTTGAGTTTCACAATAGGGAAGTTCTTAGCTGTAATTTCTCAAGCCTTTTTTTTTTTTTAAAATCAGACTCTAGCTTCCCTTTTTACCTCACCACTCAAGATGAGGCACCCAATGCAAAAGAAAAGCCAAGAGGAGACAAATGACCTCTGAAATAACATGGAGGAATTCTAGTAGAAGGTGACTGGTTCAGATGTAGTACTTATGCATTTTGGAGAGTCTGTCTCCAATATAAAATCCTTAGGGCTGGGCATGGTGGCTCACGCCTGTAATCCCAACACTCTTGGAGGTTGAGGCAGGTGGATCACCTGAGGTAAGGAGTTCAAGACCAGCCTGGCCAACATGGTGAAACCCTGTCTCTACTAAAAAAAGAAAATACTAGGCATGGTGGCGTGTGCCTGTAATCCCAGCTACTAAGGGGGCTGAGGCAGGAGAATTGCTTGAACCCAGGAGGCAGAGGTTGCAGTGAGCAAAGATTGCTCCACTGCACTCCAGCCTGGGAGACAGAGCGAGACTCCATCTCAAAAAAAAAAAAAAAGAATGCCCCTCATCATGCCTGGAGGTGTCCTGGATTTGTAGCAGACGTACCTCAGCAAAGGCAGCTAGTTTTAAAACCTTTTTATCAAAAAAAGGGAATCAGACATGAGGTTTCTCTTGTTCTTCCTTGGAAACCATAAGGTTTCAGGATGTAGTGAATTTCTGTAACGCAGTGCCGGATAAGCTAGAGTAATAATCAAGAGCCTAACAAGCTTCACCCATATTGGACATAAGTCAGCTGTTTCAGGAGTATCTAGTGCTCTGAGGTGTACAGGGCAGGGCTCCAGCACCAAAGAACCCAGCAGCTTCAAGAACTGGGAGCTGAAAAAGACAGCACAACCTCCCAAGATAGATTCCCTGCCAGTTACCTGTGTGTACAGGGAGGTCTCCTGTAAGGGAATGGTTTCCTTGGCTTGGCCACTTCTGTAAAATCCAAACCACTGTAGAAGAAGCAAAAGAAATAAGGTCAGATATGACACATAGCACATACTGCCAAACTAATTTGAGACTGCTTAGAAGCTAAAACTGCCAACAAAGTGAACATCATAAAGCTGTAGCAAGAAGGAAAAATGGATAGGGTGCGTCTGAGTCATCTCTTCTTAAGGGTGGAGCCCGAGGGATGAGTTAATCTTTCTGAGGGGCTGCTTTCCACTTCCCCAGAATTTCTGCTTCCTACATTTATTAAGCAATAAATGTGAAAAATTCCTGGGCTGAGCTCTAGACATTCAAGGATGAATCTATTATCTGTTTCCAAAAACCTCCCAGTCTTGCAAGGCACAGAAACAATTCACTGTTGAGCACAGAGGTCAGCAAATGTTTTTGTAAAGGCCAGATACAAAATATTTTAGGCTTTAAGGGCCATATGGTTGCAACTACTCACTGCTGCCACTGTAACAAAAGCAGCCACAGACAGTATGTAAAAAGTAAAACTGTTCCAATGAGGACACTGAATTTAAATTTTACATAATCTTTATATGTCAAAATACTTTATATGTCTAAATAAATTTTACATAATCTTTATATGTCAAATTCTTTCCCCCAACCATTACAAAATGTAAAAACCATTCTTCACGTGTGGGTAACACCAAAACAGGTAGCCGGATGGACTGGGCCTATGGGCCACAATCGGCCAATCCCTAGTGGTGTGACATAATGTGAGGAGTGTCCTAACACAGGCTGATGATCTACAAAAGGGATCACATTCTGCTTGGAAGGGGGATGGCATCCTGGCCTTGACAGACGAATAGGAACTGTCAGGTGGAGAAGCCAAGGAAGTACTTTCTAGCGACAGAAAAACATGAACAAAGTTTGCATACAAGAGAAAAAGCAAAAGTAGTACAATATGGCTTGATCAAGAGTGTATGAAGCGTGCAGACAAGGAAGATCAGGCTGGAAACCAGGGTGAAGCCAGATCAAGGCAGACCTTGGAGGCCAAGCTTAGGAACTGATATATTTTGGGCTGCTGATTCTGAACCCTTTTTGGGTCTCTGGTCTCTGGAAAATGGATTAAAATTATAGACCCTTCCCCAGAGAATACAATTACATAATTTTGCATAGAATTTTGGGGTTGGGGGGTAGATTACAATCTTCAGTGTCCCGTTTATGGACCTCAGGTGAAGAACTGTTCTATACAAAAGTTGGTGGAAGGGACTGCAGGTTTTTTTCCCCAGCAGGCAGCTGGAGTTTTTCATTTCATTTCACTTCAATTTCATTTTATTTTCTTTTTGAGACAGAGTCTTACTCTGTCAACCAGGCTGGAGTGCAGTGGCACGATCTTGGCTCACTGCAAGCTCTGCCTCCTGGGTTCAAGCGATTCTCCTGCCTCAGCTTCCT